ACCAGCACGGCCCCCCCTGGCCGCACGTGTTCAAGGCGTTCATCAAGTGGGCCTGCAGCACGGAGGGGGCCAGCACGACTCCAGCGGCAGCGCAGACGGTGTTCCAGGACTACTGGCGGAAGGTCATCCTAGCCCCGTCGGCGCTCGAGACGCTGGCGATCCACTGCCGCCACTTCCGACTCAAGGCCTGCTGGTACGACAAGAAGAAGCTCACCAAGCCCGACAGGTTCAAGCTCCAGATCATGCTCGGCATCCCGCAGCAGGCGAACCCTTGGGGCGACGGCGCAGCTTCACTGATGGAGGCGGTCCAGCAGACGGTCATGGCGGCAGGCACAGACAAGAAGGACCAGACCGTGCGCTTTCTCCCTGGGGCGCCGCCGAGAGGCGGTCTGGAGCGCGAGGCCTCCAAGCTGCTGGCGCAGCTTGGGATGAAGGACAAACCAGCGGCGGCGCCCGACGACAGGGACAAGGACAAGGACGACGACGAGCTCTGAGTCGACCTGCCCGTTTCAGGCTGCAATCCGTCAATGGCTCACGCCGTACCGCAGAGCTGTACCTCCAGGGCCGCCTCCCAGACGGAACCCTCCTCGCCCTCCAGGCTCGGACCCTCTCCCCGATCCTCGAGTACTCGGATGGGGCCCTGGAGGTTAGACTTTTCTTTAGGACCCCCCCCATTCAGGCCTCCTTCGGCGCAGAGACGCTCCAGAGGTTTTCGGAGGCCTCCCGCCAGCTTCGGCTGGCGGCGAGTTCCTTGGGCGAGGGTCGTCTCTCGGGTTCCCTGCGGACCTCGGACGTTTGGGCCGTGCCGCGCCGCGTCGAGGAGGGCTGAAAGGGGTTGTGCTGGGGTCGGTTTAATGCGTCGCCGTCCCTCGGCCCTGTTCAGTGGAGGGAGTGCATAGGCGAGCCCCCTAGGTGTTCCCGATTTGGGGGTCTCGCTCGTATGCCAGTGGAATCCCCCTGCAGGGCCCCACAGAATCTCGGGCCCCTCAAGTGGTTCTCGAACGCCCGATCCGTTTTTTGTTTTCCTTGTGGCCCTGCAGGGTGCGGTTGTCTCAAGGCGGTTGACTTCATCGGATCATCGGCGCTGCTCTGCTCTGCTCTCCTCCTCCTCCTTCTCCTCCTCCTCCTTCTCCTCCTCCTCCTCCTCCTCCTCCTCCTCCTCCTCCGCCTCCTCCTCTTCCTCCTCCTCCTCCTCCTCCTCCTCCGCCTCTGCCTCCGCCTCCGCCTCCGCCTTCGCCTCCTCTTCTTCCTCCTCCTCCTCCTCCTCCCCCCCCCCCCCCTCCCCCTCCTTCCATTCCTCCTCCTCCTCCTCCTCCTCCTCGTACTTTTCCTCCTCCTCCTCCACCTCCACCTCCTCCTCCTCCTCCTCCTCCTCCTCCTCCTCCCCCCCCTTCCCCCTCCTTCCTCTCCTCCTTCTCCTCCTCCTCCTTCTCATCCTCCGCCTCCTCTTACTCCTCCTCCTCTTCCTCCTCCGCCTCCGCCTCCGCCTCCGCCTTCGCCTCCTCCTCCTCCTCCTCCTCCTCCTTCCTCCTCCTCCTCCTTCTCCTCCTCCTCCTCCTCCTCCTCCTCCGCCTCCTCCTCCTCCTCTTCCTCCTCCTCCTCCTCCTCCTCCTCCTCCTCCTCCTTCTCCTCCTCCCCCCCCTCCTTCCCCCTCCTTCCTCTCCTCCTCTTCCTCCTCCTCCTCCGTCTCCTCCTCCTCCTCCTCCTTCTCCTCCTCCTACTCGTACTTCTCCTCCTCCTCCTCCCCCTCCTTCTCCTCCTCCTCCTCCTCCTCCTCCTCCTGCTCCTCCTCCTCCTCCTCCTCCTCCTCCTCCTCCTCTCCTCCTCCTGTGCGCTGATGAGGCCGAGGTGCCATGGGCCAGCGGGGATGGGGACCGGTCCGAGGATGCTGAGCCTCGAAGAGCGTCGCGCCCGCCACTTCGCCCGCAGCGCTCTGCCCCCCGCGCGCCAGCCGCACCACGCTGGCGGCCCGCCTCACGGGCTCCCTTTGATTCTTTCAGACGCTCAGGGTCCACGTTAGGCCCGCGTGCGCGAGTCGGGCGTGGGGCCCGCTGAGCGCGCGTAAGATGTGTGCGTTGATATCTTCTAGGCTGAGACTTTTGAGCATGCAGCATGCCTATGCGAGTCTCGAATCGTAGTCTTGGGTCTGCTCGTTGTGGGTATGGTCTCTTTGGGCATGCCGAAGCAAGGCTCGAGTGGTTGGGCCTTGGAAAGAATCAAGGGGAACTCAACCTTGATCCTGGCCAGGACCCTACGGGCCCCAGGATCGGTGTGTACGCCGTCCTGGCTTGGGCAGGGAGGCGCATACCAGAAGAAACACAACGCAAGCATAAACTTTCGAAGCTCCGAACAGATTTCTTGAACCGCCGCTGGACCCCCCTTCCACGGAAGGCGTCAGAGGCGCCGATCCAAGAAACCCGCGCGGATCGCCGAAACTTTCTATGAACATGCAGTTCACTTCTTCCTCGATCTGGCGACTTCCCATCAGTTCTGTCACCGCCCCCTGGCTTCCCCCGGCACCAGGGGCAGCCCCAGATACAAACGTTGAGCAGATACACCAGGGCCTTGCTACTGGTGGTCAGTGCCATGCGCAGTACGCATCCGTCCATGACAAAGGCTTCGAGCTGCGCGCAGACAGGCACCCCCGGTAGTCGCGGTTGGCCTCGACAGCCCCCCCCCCAGCAATCCCAGCTGGCCTCAACAGGCCTCCCGAGCAGTCCAGGGCCGTCTCAACACCCTGGCGCCGCCTCCAGCGGCGCCCCTGGGATGCTCCGCGCCAGAGGGTCGGGGTGTTGAGACCGCCCTGGACTTCATCCATGAGAAATCTCAACAAAAAATGATCCTGGCGAAGGACCCAACCATGTGTACGGCAAGTTCGTGTCGTGTCGACCCCGGCGTCGGTTTCTGACGCCACGTGGATCGTTCAAGCTTGAACGATCGGCGGCTTTCCGATCGCCCGATCGTTCCACACACGCCGATTCTGGGCCTCTGGCGGCGTTCAACCTTGAACGTCCGAGGCGGGGTCGCCGCCGGTCGACACGACGCGAACCTACCGTAGGTGTGTATTCCGTGTTGTGGCGCCGCTCCTTATGGGGCCACGAACCGTGTGTGGGGTGCGCCAAAACGGGGCGGCGCCGCCATGTGGACCCCTGCCACTGGGGCCTTCGGGAGATGGCTCACGGCACCCTTCGCTCTTGGGAGCCTTGGCGGTAAGAGCGTGTTACGTCACCGCTCGCTCATGGCAGTCTTGGTGTTCAGAGACTTTTACGTTGCCGCTCGCTCTTGAGAGCCTCGGTGTTGAGAGTTGTTCACGTCACCGTTCGCTCTTGGGAGCCTGGCCTCCACGATGGCCCAGAGAGGCGCCCAAAACGGCTTCAGACGACGACAAACGGGCCAGGAATGCCCTAAGGCGGCCAAAGAGGCCCCCGAGAACCAACCCCCCAACGACCCCCAAAAGGCTCAAGGAGGCCCCCAAGATGCATCCAAAAGGCTCCCAGGAAGCTCCAAGGAGGCCCCATGAGTGCCCCCAGAGGCTCCCAAGATGCCCCCATCCTCCTCCTCCTCTTCCTCCTCCTCCTCCTCCTCCTCCTCCTCCTCATCCTCCTGCTCCTCCTCCTCCTCCTCCTCCTCCTCCTCCTCCTCCTCCTCCTCCTCCTCCTCGTGATCTTCCCCGCCAATCTCTCCCGAGTGTTCCCCGAAGGGTTTGTACAAAGGCTCGGGAAACACATGGCCCGATAGCTTGGCAGAGCTCTTGCCACAACGTTCGGCCACATTGGCGATTCCAAAAGGCGAGGGGGCGGCGGTGATTCGCCGTAGGCGCCTTCGATAGAGACAGGGCCCTGGGCGTCTTCTTGGAGCTTGGTGCATCGTAGAATCGTCGTATCTCTGGACCTGGGCTGCTGTGTAAGAACACGCTCCGAATAAAGGCCATTATCTTGGCGACGGAACTTCGTAACTCTCAGCAGGGGTTGATGGGCCTCTTTCCCACCACCACCACCATAAGTTGGAGGGGGGAAGGAGGAGGAGGAGGAGGAGGAGGAGGAGGAGGAGGAGGAGGAGGAGGAGGAGAAGGACCCCCTCCCCCTCCAACTTATGGTGGTGGTGGTGGAAACAAGCCCATTAAGGGCTCTCGGGGGGGCCCGTTGAAGCCGGCTGGGACTGCTCGGGGGGCGCCTGCTGAGGCCAGCCGCGACGGCCCGGGTGGGCCCGACCGTGCGCAGCCCGAGGCCTTCTATTACCATCAGTCCTGGGCTCGGCATTGGCCTGGCCAGGAGGGAAGAGGAGGAGGAGGCGGAGGAGGAGGAAGAGGAGGAGGAGGAGGAGGAGACAGAAAAGGAGGAGGAGGAGGAGGAGGAGGAGGACGAGGAGGAAGAGGAGGACGAGGAGGAAGAGGAGGCGGACCGAAGGAGAAGGAGGGACGAGGCGGGTCCCAAGTCCAACTGCCCGAACCGAGCCCGAACGCAACGGGAGGGATGCCCGAGAAGGCTCGAGCCAGCGGGCCGACCGAAGCCCACGCGGGCGCTGCCCAGACCGCACCAAGACCCCATCCAGACGGCAGGGGGGCGGAAGGCTTCCGACTGGAGCCGAGAGTGCCTCGAAGGAAGGGGTAGGAGCTCCAGGACCGCCGATTGCGGGGGGGTCGGTCGGCCACTCTTGGGCTCGATCCCTCGAGCGAACCAACATTCGACAGAACACAAACACGCGCAGAACTCACCTCGGAAAAAAGGGGGCCTGGGCAGGGGTCCTGCAGCTTCTTGAGATACTTGCCGACGACACCACAACTCGCAGATCCCCGGGGAATCCCAGCATAAAAGGCAGCAGGCCCAAGACAAATGGAGTGGAACGACGCATTGAACGAAGCCTCCGTCATCGGCCCTGTTGAGGCACACAAGACACCGTACAGCATGAGCACCATCTGCATAGAAATCGTGTTGCGATTGAAAGCCGAGGGATACGCCATCTTCTTTGCGGAACACGGCGGGCCAGATGGCCCGCAGCTCTGTGCAGGCGCACCGCCCTTGAGGCGAGGGAGCTCATGAACTTCGCCTTGTCGACCGCCTCCTTCAGCACGCCAGCGTGGAAGTCGGCCACCACGTCGGCGACCTCACCCCCGTGGCACCGCAGTAGGCGAAGAGGTCGGCCCTCGGCGACCTTACCCCTGTGGTACCGCAGCAGGCGAAGAGGTCGGCCCAGGCGCTACCGAGCGAGTGGGCTGCGCTGCTGCCTCTCAACAGAAAATGTGTCAAATCCTTGTGGCGCGGGGTCCACAAAAAGCCTAGGTCCTCTCCACGTCGCCCGCACAGAGGGTGAAACATAAAGTCCAGGTGCCAACATATCGACTGCCCACTTTGGCCCCGCTGCTGTCCCATGCTTGTCCTTCGCGGACAAGAAAGAGAAAGCCGGAACCGATGAGGCCTGGCCTGCGCATGGTGCCCGGACCTCACAGGCCAGCAGATCGTTCAGCGTGAGGGACTGACTGAAAACGCTTAGGTAGTCTGCCATAGATCGCACGAACTGGCCAGCCTGAGCCTGGGTTGATTTGTTCCACTGCCCAGCAAGCGTGGGAAACATTAGGATGAGAACTGTTAAGACTTGAGCCGTCTGGGTACACCACTGGGGTCCATGGTGCATCGGCATCCCCCCGCCTGAGCGTGGGCACGTCGTTTGAGGGCGGGGATGGACGTCCTGGCTCGGCCGGAAAGGAGTAGGTCAGCTCGAAACTCTCGGCGTCCATGACGTTGGCCACCGCTTCTTACTGCTCCCTCCTACTCTCGACGATGAAGTCGGGAAGGGCTTAGGCACGAACTCGCTTTGCTGCGTCAGGGTGTCGCATGCATTCCACTGATGGCTGAAAGTGGCACGTTCAGCTCAGCAACTGTGGCATCGCCTCGTCCACCCCCGAGTCTGGGCATACCAAGGCTCCTGACTACAACTTGCGGGGCGCACCTCGTTGGGGCCCTGCCGGCGCGCGAAGAACAGATCGGCGCGTCGCGCGACGCCACATCTTTTCGTCGCTACTCCTGAAATCACCCCAGTGCGACCCTACCTAGAAGTTGGATCCCCTAGGAAAGCAGCATTCGTTGCTATGCTATGCTATGCTATGCTATGCTATGCCATGCTATGCTGCGCTATGCTATGCTATGCTATGCTGCGCTATGCTATACTATGCTATGCTACGATATACTGCGCTGTGCTATGCTATGCTATGCCGGGCTCTGCTATGGTATGCCGTGCTGCGCTATGTTATGCTACGCTATGCTTTGCTCTGCTGTGCTCTGCTATGCTAAATATCAGCAAAGCTAAGATGAAGGTAAGCTAAACTAAGATAAACCTGAGCTGAGATGAAGCTAGCTAAGCTAAACTGAAATACGCTAAGCTAAGATGAGATAAGCAACGCTAAGCTAAGGGGACGCAGCTGGGGGAACCGCGAGGCGGATCCTGGGGGAACCGCCCGGGGCGCTTTGCACTGCCCGGCCCCTTTAAGCCCACAGAGTAAGAACCCTTCTAGGCAGAGCCTAGGTAGGGAAAAAAGTGAATAAGATTTCTTGCCGTCTGCCAACGGTACAAGGACCCGACCATGTGTATCTCCACGTCCCGAGGAGCCACTGTTTTGAGTTGGGTGATTAAGCCGAGGTCCTCAATGAGCGTGTGAGGACTGGCGATCTGCCAGGTGATGCAAATACGCGCGAGCCTGACTGAAGCCACCGTGCCTTTGCCCGACTTGAAACTAGGATCTCGAGCGCGCTGCTCCGCGCCCTGCTAGGCGCAAAATAATTCAAACACCTGGGCCCTTCCGCCCCACTCGAAAGAGGCGCAGCGTTGGACCAGCAAGATGAAACAACTCAAAAAACGGATCAGATCGATCATCGCGCAGAGTCGCAGGGTAGAGCGTGAGTGAAACGTTGCGGGGGGCAAAAAAACATGTCTCCTAAGAATGCACGTAGTTGCTTGAGCACAGTGGCCGACTTCCCGTTGACTCCCGCACCGTGGCCCGCCGCGGGCAATAAGCCCGTTCTCCAGAACACCGAGACCTTATCGTGCACAGCTCCCCGATGCTTCCAGCCGCGCCCTTTCCTAGCTAGGAGCTCATTGATGCGCCTCTTCTCCCGGGCCCTGGGCGAGATTCCGGATGGCTTCCTTGGGCGCAGCTTCAAGACGCGGCCCCCCGATTGGAACCCTCAGATGGTCACGATGGTAGTGGCCACGAAACCGGACTTGGACCCCTGGGCGACGAGCCCGACGGGGATCATGTCGAACGTGAAGTTGCACGCGTATGCGTGCAACTCGGGCGCGACACGCATCTCTGCACCATGCCACTGAAATGTGATATCACCCAGGAGCACGCGTGCCGTGATGTTCTTGCGCAGCATGCACCCCCTTATCGACCACCCTGCACAGCGCCAGCATGAGTATCATCGTAGCGCAATCGTAATGTGCCACGCGAGTGTCGCTGACATTGTGGAAGGCGCGCATGACCCGAGGTATCATTTGCGTCTGTAAAAACATCTGGATGAGCCTCATGGCATCCCGCAGCGTGGGTACCGTGGAGGATAGCAGGCCACAGGAGTTCCCGTAACACTTGAACATGTCGAGGAATATGGTGACAAGCTGTTCCTTTCTAAGATCTGTCAGCGAATAAACTGAATTCGAACGCGGCGTCGTTAAACGACCTGCCTACAACCGATCTCCAGAGACAAGGATGAGCGTGATCTGTCTTCCACTGCACGCAGAGAGGCCTTCTGGCTATGTCCCAGATTCGCGGAAGAGTGCTGATCAGCGCGATGGGCCGGGCCGGATGATCCCACTCGGCTTGGGCGACGTGCGCAGCTCGGTGAACAACTGGCCTCGAGGCCAGTGCCGCCGCCCCTCGCGCTTTGCGCGGAGATGCCCCAGCGCGCGAAGTGCCCGGTCGCTGGGGAACCAGAGCTGGCGAGAAGAAATCCGCGCCTGGCCCCAGCCCGCGCGGCGAGGGGACGATGGGGCAACGTGGCGGCGGAAATCGCTGGCATCGAGGGCGGAAAGTTGGGGCCGCCCCATATATCTGACAGATCTTTGGCCATATATTCAATTCCATCTTAGCAGGGTCGCGAGGTGCCGCGCAATAAATTGCGTCCAAGGTGTCTGGAGTTCATGCAAATAGGTAGACTTGCGAGCTGCTCGACCCCCCCCCCCCTACCGAAGGACTCGTTTGCCCGCTGCTGCCGCGCTTCCTCAATCTCCTGCTCGAGCTGCTTCTTGCGGGCGGCTGCGTGCTCCAAGGTCTCCTCCAGCTGCTGGTCGAGTGTCGGGTGATAAGCGCGTCAATAAACCACCCGCGAAGAAATCAGTCGTCGCCGTATTCAAATACATGCGAATCTCAGCAGCCCCGCCAACCTGCGAAGAAAGAGCAGCGCCATCCAAAAATTGACGTCCCAGTCGGTCCAGGCCAGTCTGCTCGCGGGCCTTCTTCCTGCCCGCCTTCGAGGGCGCTCGAACGACAGGTGATCCTAACCCATGCATTTTCAGACCCGCCGTCGGGTAAAGATGGGCAAGAGGGGGGGGGGGGGCCTCGAGCTGCGAGCGCCCGAGGAACCTAATGCCGCATCGCGACGCATCTTCGCCCGGTCAATAGCTCCACGGAGTTCCAAGCGCCGGCGTTTGTTCCATGCTAGCACGAATCCGCGTTGACAGCGACGCGAACACAAGTGCCATCCGACGAATGCGGTTCGTCGGGAGGTCGGCCCCCGTCGACTGGTGGGGCTCCGCGTTGAAGCTGCGACAGGACTCGGCCTTCGGCTGGTACTGGATGAGCTCCGCACGGCCTCCCTCCGCGAGCGCGAGATGCGGCCGCGCTCGCTCGCCCGCGAGGTCACGTCGACCTGGCGTCGCGACCTCGATCGAGTTGAGAACAGCCGCGCCTTGGAGAGCGCGTCGCTGTCGTTCGCCGCGAGCGCCAACCGCGTCCCGGTTGCAGGGGCATCTGGAACAGCCCAGTTGATCCCCAGGAGGTACCGGCTTAGCTTCAACATATTAATGCACCAAAGAGTCTGTTCCTGAGTATGGAAATCCAAGGCCGCGGAGAGATGTGGACGGGCGCTCATTTCCCCATTGGCCATCGGCCGTCGAGCGCGACGCAGTACACAAACATCTCAGATAAATAAACCGATCCGAGTGCCCGGAGGCTCTGCCAGCACGTGGCCATTCGAGTTGAGGTGGCCAGGCCGCGGATGGCATGAAGCAAATCGGCATCCCTGGGATTGTCTCGCCCCAAATTGAACTCGCCTCCGAGAACCCATCGCGTCGCGGCTGCGCGAGCAGCCAACGCCCGCGAGATCTCCGCGTTGCAGGGCGACGGCCCCCCCCCATACAGGCGCATGGAGTGCGCCACGACGCCGCCGAGCCAGACCCCAGTGGATCGTCGCGGCCACGAGCCGTCCAGGGACCAGCGCTGTGTTCTGCGTATCAGGCGCCGCTGTAATGGACGCCATCGCTGGGACTCGAACTGCCGCCCCCGCTGACGTTCCACCAGCATCTGTCGCATCTGCAGGACACCAGACCGACGTCTACCGAGCGCCGCCACGTCGTGCTGCGCCTCGGGAAGCTTTTCGGCAACGCGATGGCGTTCCTGCGTGCAAAGAACTTGTCCGTGGCACGCTGGAAGATGCTTTTTCAGCTGCATCATGGCCGAACAAGTGAATGCGATCGTGAATCGCGCGGGCCAGTATTGCCACCAAGATATTATAGGAAGCCCCGAACGAGAATATATGCTGGCGGCATCGCCGCTGTGCGCGCCTTCTTGCTGAACGGCCCGATGCCTGCGGCAGTCCTCTTGGCTGCCTCGCGCATCTCCTCATCATCGACGGGCGCAGCCACACCTGCACGCTGGAGGAAATCGCGCAGCGTGTCGGTGTCCTCGGCGCCCGCGGGGGTGACGAGCGTCGGCTGCGAACCTGTCGAAGCCGTCGGAGTGCCAGGGGCGGCGTGACCCGCGAAAGGAGGAGGGGCCTGAGGATCTCCGGCAGCGCCAGCAAGGTCTTCGGCAGCACAAACAGACTGCCCAGCGTTCGCAGGCGACACAGTAGGAGAGACATGCGCCCTCACGTCGACCTCGCGCATGGCCTTGAGGACGTTGGACAGCTGCGACGCGAGCGTCTGGGCCTCAGCCTCCTGCGCGCCCTTCGCCTTGAGGAGCGCGCCCAAGCTCTCGACGCCCAGACCCAGCGCGTGGATGGTGGCTCCGAGACTTCTTCGCTCTGCAGGAAGCTGCGGGGACGATGAAAGGACCTGCTGCACCTCAACCTCCTTCGCCACACTGTGCTTCTGAGTGGGAGCCAGAGCTGGCTCAGCCTCCGCGAACTCCTCCTGGGCCTGCTCGACCTTGTGCTTGACAGCCTGGATCGCCTCTTCCTGGCGACTACGTTTGAGCCCCAGCTGCTCGAGTTGATCGACGGCGTTTGGGGCTGCGGCTTTCTGATCTTGGCCATGCGGCACGGTGGCGTTCACAATGAGACCGTTGCTGGTACTCGAACTTTGTCCGCTCACTACGAAGAAGAATTCGGAGCATCGCTTCCGCCACCGCCAGCTCTTGCGTGGCCTCGGCATACGCGTCAGCCGCAGCAGGCGGCCCATCGTCGACCTCCATGTCCGTCGCCTTCGCGGGTGCCACGGCAGCGTCCACCTTGGCCTGGAGGCCATTGAACTTCTTCTGGGGCTCCTTCTCTCTAGCCGACATGGCGGCCGAAACTGCAGGAGGCCGTGTAGTGGTAGAGAACGGAATGGGCGTCGCGGCCTTGTTGCCGTGGAAGGCTGCGTCCTTGCTGCAGTCGCATGGCCCACACTTGGAAGACGTGGGTTGGTTGAGCCAACGCCCACATTTCCGGAGCCATGTTTGCGGGCCTTCCAGCCGTCGTTGCTTCGTTCCGCACATCTCTAACAGCAGCTGACGATTTGCGGACACCTGAAACACAAGCTAACGCACAGCTTTGCCGTGGTGTAACAGGATGTGTCACGTGGGGCGGACCACGCAACACTCGGCTTGGAGCGGACCAGGCGAGACACGGCAACAAACCGCGGACTAGCAGCATCGACTTGTTTCCCTGGGGAGCTAGAGACCCCTTGAACCAAAAATGGCTACGGAAGGGGAGGAGGAGGAGGAGGAGGAGGAGGAGGAGGAGGAGGAGGAGGAGAGAGGAGGAGCAGGAGGAGGAGGAGGACGGAAGGAGGAGGAGGAGGAGGAGGAGAGGAGGAGGAGGAGGAGGAGGGGAGGGGGAGGCAAGGAGGGGAGGAGGAGCAGGAGGACGGAAGGAGGGGGGCGGGGCGGAGGAGGGAGGAGGAGAGGAGGAGGGGGGAGGAGGAGGGGAGAGGAGGAGCCCCCTGGCCGCCGCGCGCCGCCGAGCGCCGCGCGGGCGGCCGCGCGCCGCGCGCGCGGGCCCCTGGCGCCGGCCGCGGCGGCAACTGCCGCGGCCGCCGCAAGAGCTCCTGGCCGCGCAGCGCCAGGGGGGTCCCCGACCTCCGACGGACCCAGACCCGCTCGGGGCACGAAACGTTCACGGCGGGAGGCTCTTCGCTATCATCTTCGGCCTCCGGGGGCCGATGCCGGGCCTCGGGGCCGTCACAGAGACGGCGCAGGGCGGAGCACAGGTCCCGGGGAGGGGCTCGATCCCCCTGGAGGTCGACATGTAGGAGCAAATCGTGACGTCGGGGGTCTGGATATGAGGCAGCCAAGGCGCAGTCCAGGAGGTGAAATCACACACAGACACAACGAATCCGCGACTCCCATGAAAATACTGGCAGATATAAGGAGTGGGGGGGGAGCCGAAAACCCAGAAAACATAGGAAAATATGGGGGATCCTTGGATCTGTGTGTATCTATTTGTGTGTCCCTGTGGCCCTTCAGCATTTCTGGTAGTGGTTTTCGGCGTCTGGGGTTTTTCGCCAGGCCCCCGGGCCGTGAACACACGATCCGGGACGAGTAGCCGTTCCCTGGGAACTGGTCCGAAGCTCCAGGGAACCCGCAATGAAAACATCGAAACTATAGGAAGAAGAAAAACCGCCATAAACATAAACTTTTGGCGCTCCGCGCGGATTTCCTGGATCCGCTCCGGACCCCCCTCCCGGGCGCGCGGAGCGCGCCAAAGGCGCTGGAGGCGCCGCCGAGGGGACCCAGCGCGGATCCAAGAAATCCGCGCGGAGGCCCAAAAGTTTATGTTTATGACGTTTTTCTTCTTCGAGAAACATCGGAGGTCTGGATTCGCAGACGCTCTCTCTGGGGACCTTCCTGGAACCGCTCGCTCCACGCATACGTCCGCCCACTCGAGGCGAACTCGAGCCGAGCTGGCGTCGGGCTCGTGTCGCACAGGTCTTCGAAGCAGAGTCGCACAGGTCCGCTGGGCAGCCCCCAGGAGGTATCGCAACGGGCCCCAGGACACACAAATAAATACACACAAATAAAAATATTCTCCATATTTTCCCATATTTTCTGGGTGTCTGTCTCCCCGCCCACTTCCCATATTTTCCCATATTTTCTGGGAAATCGAGGATTAATTGTGTCTGTGTGTTTTTTCCTCTCCTGAAAGACGGGCATCTGACGAGGGGGGTGGCCTACCTCGGCCGCGGGCCTACGGCCGCGGAGGGCCGCCCCAGGACCCCCGGGACGCCCCCCCCGAGCCTCCCAGAACGCCCCGAGATCGTCCAGAGGCCTCCTCGACCCCAGGTTCTCGAAGCCAGGTCCTCTAGAGAGCCCCGAAGCCCGACGTCGTGCTGCTTTCATGGCGCGGGCTCCCGGAGGTCTCGACGCCTTCCCGGGGGCCGGTTTCTCATCCCGAGTCGTTCCTTGACGGCGCTGAGGCCCAGTGGAGGTCGAAAACGTAAGAAACGCTCCGTCGTGACTTTTCCCTAGAGAACAAATAATCCACCCTCATAATGAGCAACCTGACAAGCCAGGCCGTTTTGTAAACGCAAGCAGGGAAGAAGTCGAACAGGGCCCGGCTGTTTGCCAAACGCCCAGGGCCGTGTAGCAATCGCCAATTATCAGAATCAGGGTCGGGGTGGTTCTTCCTCCCTTGACTCCCCCCCCCCAGTGGTGACCCCCGCCCCCCTTTCGGGTGGTCGCCAGCGGGGGCCGGTGAAAACGGGAGGTGAAGAAACGTACGCCTCTTGTCCACCTCATGGGCCCGCGGTGGCAGCCATGGGGCCATCTGGGATACCCCCGGTACCCCCCGCGCATACAGTCATCGGCCTGACCTGAGGAACGGTACATAAGGAACGAAGCTCCTTCTTCCAAGGAGTAACGCGTGGGGAACGATGAACAAATAATGCATAACGCATAGGGAACGATGGCTAACGCATGCAAGCCTAAGGAACGACCGGGCCCCTTTTGAAAAGTAAGTGTTCCTTCTTCAAGCCGCTCACTCTATTGCCTCCCGCTGCCGCTCGCCCGACCCTTCCCAGACATCGGACGACCAGATTCTGCCAGAGCGCGGCCCCTATGAGCCCCCCTTCCCTGGGGGGCAGCCTTTCGCGCACCGCATCCACTGTTGAGGGTAGACCCCGAAAGCAGCCCCCGGAGGAGAAAAAACAACGGGATCCCTGCGACCCGACGTCGCGAAAACGTTCAACTTCGCGAAAAATCGCAACCAGAGCCCTCGACACCATCTTTCTGTGAGCAGGTCGGGCCTGTCCCCCTACAGGGGGATTTTGGACGAAGCATGGAGAAAAAAAACCCAACAACACACCAAACATTTTCAAACATAGTACAAAAAATCGTCCCCAGACTATTGCTTGACTATTTTTTATAATCGTCCTCCTGTAGAGGGACAGGCCCGACGTAATTCTGCGACAGCTTTCGACCCGGATCGATCTGTGATGGTGCCGGGGCGGGAAGCCCCGCGAAAACGCTCATTGTGGAAGAGAGCTGCTGCTCCCAGATGTCAGGGATCGGAGAAGAGCGCATCCTCGCAGACCTTCGGGGGCGTCCAAGAGTGAAGGGGCCCTGGGACACTCAAATACATAGACACAAAGAACAGGATTCCCAATCTTTTCAAATATTTTCTGGGTTTTTGTCTTCCCGCCCGCTTCCAATCTTTTCCCGTATCTTCCCAGGGATCGACAATTAATTGCGTCTGTGTGTTAACATTCTCCCCTCCTGAAGACCTTCGGGGGCGTCCAAGAGGGGGGCGTCCAAAAGGGGAGTTCGCAACTCGTGGCCCGAGGCACGAGCGCGGACGAGGCAGGGACCACAAAGACTGCTTGGCATAGTAAGATGGGCGTGACTTCCGGGCGGCGTTCTGACCAGGATCTCGGAGCGAGTCCAGCTGTGGCGACGAGGGCCTCCCGGGAAGCCGAACAAGAGGAAAACAAGGCAAGAGTGACGGCGTTCGGCGACGAGCCTAGGGAGGAAAGTGAGAAGGGGCGGGCCTTCTCAGAAGGCTCGGAGGTCCCCCGGCCTTGTGGCAAGTTTTCTAAGGCGCCCCCGAGGGCGCCAGCAACCTCTCCGAAGGCGCGAGGGCTTCTGAGAAGTCACGCCACCCTCTGGGACGGCCATCTCCATCTCACTTCCCCCCCCCGCTCGCCGCCCGGGTACGGTGGGGGCAATTTTTTCTTTATCTATGTGGGCGCCGAGCGGGCTCGGCGGTTTCATGCATAAATCCTCCAATCAGCGCACGGCGAGCCCCGCCGCGCGGCGTGCGCGGGCGGCCGCCGACCCCGCGGCTCTCTCGCGCCCGCGGGCCGCCGCAGCAACTGCGAAGCCGCGGGCGCAGAGGGCGCCCTCGAGCCCTGGGCGGACCTGCCGCGGCTCTTCGGCCTCCGCCCGCGGGGCCGCCGCGACCAGGCGCCGCGGCGCCGCGGCGCGCGGCGGCGCTGCCGCCTGGCCCCCATCGCCAGCCGCAGGTGGCGGGGGCGGGGCGGCCGCAGGCTGCCGCTGCGAAGGCACGGGCGCCGCCGCGAGCGCCTGCTCCTCCGCCCCGTGGCCCAGCCTGGCCTGGAGCGCCGTCGCCCAGCACAGGCGCGCGCACTCCATCGGCAGGGCCAGCGGCGCGAACGGATCCTTGGACGCAGGCAGGGTGCCCCGTGCGAAGTCCGTCCGCGCCTGGGCTCGGGAGCCCCTCAGGGACGTGGGCTGCCCAGCCGCCGCGCTGGCCCCACACGGCATGGCCAGGCCGCGACGCGCGCACCTGGGGGGGCGGCAGCACCCCCAGCACGCTGAGCAGACCAGGGGGGGCTCGGAGCCGTTGCCCTCGACGCGCGACCCCCGTATGAGGTGGCCGTGGACCCTCAATCCCGCTGGACGGGCCGCATCAGCCGCCACCTCAGGGGCTGGGCCGCTGCAAGCCGCCGCTGCCGCCGCCCGCCGCGGGCTGGGCGCGGGCGCCGAGGCCTCGCGGCGCCTCGACTGCTCCCGCACCCTGCGCTGGGGTGCTCGGCGCAGCACCTCCGCGGGCCTATCGGCCGAGGCGGGGCGGCGCCTCGCGGGCGACGGCCGCGAGCAGGAAGCGGCCGCTGCCGCCGCTGCTGCCAGGGCCGCCGCCGTGGCGAGGAGGGGGCCGCCGTGAGCCGCCGCGGCCTGCGCCTCGCCGTCGCCAACGTCAGCCTCCGCGACGGGCATCTGCATGTTGCCAGCCGCTGACACGACAGGCCCGCGCACCTCCGCGTCGTGCAACTTCCCGAACTCGCCGCGCCCCTGGGACTGCGACTTCGGTGGGCTGAATCCACCTGTCCCAGGGGCGGGCTCCG